GTACTGCCCGCTCATCTGTGTTGATTCTAGATGGGAGCCCAGCTTGCTCAAATGTAACTTGTTGTTTGGACTCCGTTAAACTCAGAATAGCTCTTCTTTAAATTGGTAGTATTTCAGACATTTGATGGAAGAGAAATGAGCGTGTTTACCAGTGTAAGGTTTTTAAAATATTTGTTTCAATTTTCTTTCCTATTAATGCTGTCACTATTTAATTAATATGTGAGCAGCCAGTATCTGTTCTGTACCCCATACTGTGCAGGACAGGTGTACCTGGACTCTGCTTTTGAGGTGCTTATAATTTAGTCATCACCTCTTTATTGATCATTTGTGGATAAGTACTTTCAGTAGTTTATGAGTTGCAGACTTTAGATTGTTTGGGAAAATAACGGTGGGAGGTGATATAATTACACATCCATCGCTACTAATTTTATTGTGATGATATAATGTATACATACTTGGAAGCCTAATGGTTATCTTTAAAACTGCTTATGTATATTAAGGACTGATATGTAGTTAGCAGGTTAAATATTTATTCTGTAATCATTAGTGTTCTAAATTCAGCCTTCTCAATTTCCCTGCTGGATTGTTTTTCTAATTCAGTTTATATTTCATTCTTTAGGAGACTTTGTTTCTGTAAGTGGTCCCGAGGGCAATTTTAAAATATCCAAACTCCAGGAATTAGAAGATCTCATTTTAGTGGCAGCTGGAACAGGCTTCACACCAATGGTCAAAATCCTGAATTACGCCTTGAGTAACATACCCAGTCTCAGGTATGTCATCTTCTCTTGAGTTAGTGTTGTTCATTAGGAGAAGGCAGTGGTGGTGTACCTGCGGCGTGTGCGCCACAGCTGCTGCTTGTCACCGAAAGCTCAAAGGTTTGCTGTTGTTGGAAAGGCACTCAGGTGACTGTCACTCGGATCTTATTAGATTGGTTCTCCTTCTTATTCATCATTCGTTACTCTCCCACCTGAAGTCATAGCTGTTTTATTAACTTGGCTCTTTTATCTCATTTCAGTTTTTTATATTATTGGTTACCTAATTGCTTCTAAAAAGCATTTACCATAGTTCACTTTAGATGTTCCACTTGTGCTTTATATTTTAAATGTAATTAGTTACATGTAATATTTTTTTCTTCTAAGGAAGTTGAAGTTGATGTTCTTCAATAAAACAGAGGATGATATAATTTGGAGATGCCAGTTGGAAAAATTAGCACTTGAAGATAAAAGGTATTGCACCTGTGTTAATTCCATATCATCAGACCATATGTACTAAGTCTAGGCTTTGTCTGTGTTTTGAGTTGACCAAGAAGCCCTTCAAAGAAATATACAAGCTAATGCATCCTTCTAGAAACCTAAGTAATGTTAAAGCTCCTATGTCCAAAGAAATACTTCCTAATAAAAATCTAGGTAATGTATTATATAAATATATGTACTCCTGAATTAGATTTCATTGAAAATGTTCCAGTACAATTAGTTTGCCTTTATTGAAACTGTTCTATTAATCAGTTTTGAAAAAAAAATTAAAAAAAAAATTCTTTTAAAAGAGAAAGTACAACTACTGTAGCTAATCTTATGACAGCTAGAGTTGGACACCACCAAAAGCAATAGAAATAATAATAGCTCACAGAAAAAATAAAATTGTTTGCCAGTTTGAGGTTGTCTTACATAGTAGGACAGATAAAATAAATCTGCTAAGGATTGACTAAACAAAATACTACAGGGTTTCTTAGAGACTTAGTGACTCCCCTTGAAGGAGATTTCTTGGTTATTTTTCTAGAAGGGAATTTATTGGTTAGCAAGGTTGTTTGCATTTTTGTTACTTGCATTAACATTTATATATAGCCTTATTATTGGTATATACCTTTGGAAATACTGTTGTAGTCAAAGAAAGCAATTCTAGTCAACTTAGCGCAGAGATAGGAAGGATAGAAAACTGAAAATTTGTTTTAATGAAGGCAAAAGCTCAGCAAAATCAACTAAAATAATTTAAGCATATGCAGCAGTTTCCCTTAAAGTATGTTAAAATAGTAAGAAACTCAAAAACAATTTCTTTCACAAAAATTAATTGGCTGTGTTACCAGAGTTTGAAAAGCATTGTTATAATCATTAAAAGCTGTGATTCAGGGCTTTATAAGTTGCAGATTATCTGAAAAATAAAATAAATAAAAGAAAAGCGTAATAGTCTTATGTAACTAAAATTCTAGGACTTTGTAAAGTTAAAACCCTTACGTAGAAACATAGCTGTTGGGGTCCTGATCTGGAAGGGAAAGTGAGAAGAAGTGGAAGCTACTTCAGGAGGGCGCTGAGTGGGTCCTGCTTGGAAGCGGGGAGGGAGGACCGGTGGCTGTTGCAGTTGAGCAAATTCAAAGGTTGATTTTGATCCAGAAGGGCGTTAGAGCCCCATGTTTTGACTGTGCTGTGACTGTAGCTCTTCTAAGGACACTGAGGCGGAGGTGTCTCACTAGTATCGTGGCTTCATCCTGAGAACATAAGCTGCTCGTCCTGAGACCTAGAGGGATGGCTGTTGTCATAACCAGAGACAACTTGGAAAACGAGACCTCAAGGAAATCTTGTACTTAGTGTTTCAAGTTGTCTCGTTACAGTAATATTCTGTAGGCTCCAGTTCAACCTCAGCAGTCAACATACATCCTTAAAATTGGGATAAGATAGTTCTTTTGAAAAAATCTTTCATGGGAAAAAAAGAAATGTAGCTGTCAGACGGGTTCCAGGTTCATATGTATGTTCTGAGTATGTGTAATAAGGCTGTGCAGTGGGCTTTTCTATTTCTTTAACCTGTTACCTCCCATATGCTCCCCTTCCTCTTTTAGTAAATTACTTTCACAAAATTAAGGCTAACCTGAGCCTACTTATCCCTATTGACTAGTTACTGTTACCTATTTAAAACATAAACCCAAGAATATATACTGTTTGATAACTGTGTGGCAATTTAAATAATGCCTTAAAGAAATGCCAGCTCTTAGGTTTTCACGCATCTTATACTTGGAAGCCTAAAACCTAAATTCAAGTTTCCAAGGTATTCAAATGTAAACTTTATGACTTGCGACTGTTCAGAATTACTTAGCTGTGAGGGCCTGTGTCTTCATCTTCTAAATAAAATAGTGACGCCTTCCCTGTAGATGACATTAAGCAATGTGAGGTTTTGAGAGGATAGTGTAAGTGCCTGAGAACCACGAAGCCTGCCCTCGGGTGTCTGCGCTGCGGTTTCACGGAGCTCTGTGCGTGCTGTGGCTTCTACTTGAGCTCCCCTTGCCCCAGATGTTAACCCCAGCACTGTGGGAGGTTGAGGCAATAGGAGTAAGAGGTGGAGTCCATCCTGGGCAACTTAAGCCTGTGTCTCTGAATAAAAAAGAAAAAAGCCTGAGGATAAAGCGAAGTGCATTGCCCAATCTTCACTACCAAAAAATAAATAAGAATTTAAACAGACAGTGGTAGACTTTTTAAGCTGAGATTTAAAAAATATATTTCTTGTAGGTTTCTGACCAAAGTATTACTTGAATAAGTCCCCTAAAGAGAAATTTATAACTTTTTTTAAATTTACTACTATTTTAGTGACTAGACATTCTACCTTCAACCTTTAATAGGAGTGAAATGTGATTTACAGATGTAATTTGTGAAAAGGATTGTGTTCACATCTTCTGAACACAGAGTTTCTTGTGGGCTTTGTTTGCTTCAGTCTGCATGTTGGGGTCAGTGCACGTACACAGCCTGCAGTACTGAGGATGAGGAAAGCCCCCTTGCTTTTCACTTCTCTCTGCCTGGCTCTAACAGCACTCGCCAGGTGAGTGGTACTTTCCAGCCTGCTGAGGGAAGTGGCTCTGGCCTGCCGTTAGTCCTCACGTGTGCTCCGTGTCTTTCTCCTCTTGGCCACCTGTGCTTGTTCATTTGCATTCTCTCCTGCTCTGCTTTCTTTTTCCTTTTTCTGGAGACCTGGCACTGCTTGTCTGAGGTGCTAGATAGACACTGTTTGTTTTAGGAGCTCTGAGGACTCCTGGCCTTTTTTGCGTGAGGTTAGCTCAGGCACTCACTAGAAGGAAAAGGCCATGCTTCTAAACATGGCTTTGAACATTATGAGGAACTGTGCCTTAGGCAGAGACTGTATTTGCAGCTAGAACCCTAGCGTTAAAGGCTTTTAGGTGAGTTTGGGTAATAATATTTTTCAATCAAATCATGATTGTTGGTTCCTGTACATAAAAGGAAAGTAAAAGCTCAGATTCAGTGTAATGCTAAGTGGTGATACTGCATGTTCTAGTATTTCAGGCTGCTGCTGTTTGGATACATGTTAAACACTTTTGCTGACATCTTGACTGCCCCATGTTGCTTGTGGTTTTAGTGAGAACTTGCCGACAAAATTTATTACCAGAGTACATTTCCAGTAATTCAGTCAAATTATTACTGAATTATGCACATAAAAATTCTCTGAAATGTTGTAGTTAAAAAAAAAATGGAAAGGCTCTAGAATTGTCTCACTGTTCTGCTAGGTCCTAGTGGTGGAGTTCTGAAGGGCATTGTAACTCAGAAGCTGTGCCTTCAGAGGACAGATGAGGCCATGGATGTCGAGGGAGGAGAAGGAGTGATTGGGGCTTTGTGAGAATGAGAATGTAATATCAGAGCTGCAAGGCAGAAAGGGTTCTGGAAAATAAAGGAGCATTTGTGAACAGGAAAGGAAGCGTGGGGTAGCAGAATTACGCAAGTAACAGCGGGAGGGCCAGAATGTCCTAGTAGTCCAGTGACAGCACAGAGCTCGGTTTTGTTCTTAGACTCTTCATCAGCTGGATCAACTAGGAAGAGCTGGGATACCAAGTACTAGGAAATGTTAATTTGACGGCCATGAGGAGTCCCTGTGGTTTTTAAGCAAAGACTTTGGACAATTTGATCTGGGTTTTTTAGAACTAATGTGGCAGTGGAGTGTCCAAAAGATTATAACTAAGACTGTTAAAAGTAGTATTTCGAGGGCCAGCAAGATAGCTTAGCAGACTAAGCACCTGCCTAGGCATGCATAGGGACCCTGGTTTGATCCCAGCACCATATGCTGTGCCAGCCCTGCCCCCTGGGCATGCAGAGCCAGCCACTGAGATTGGGCTTGGTGGCACACACCCATAATCCCAGCACTGGGGAAGCTGAAAACTGGAAGATCGTATGAGTCTGGGCTACGTAGTGAGATCCTATACCAAATACATAAAATAAAAAAAAAATTCAGGCAGGACATGAGCACCCAATTTGGTGTTCCAGCAGTTTCCTGTTGCAGTAGTAAAAATGAGGAGTGGGAGGGTGTGTGCGTGCGGGGTGATGCAGATACACGCTGGAGGCTAAATGGCCAGAGCAAGAGCAGGGCGAATCAGTGGCCAGGTGGGCTGTGATGTCGAATGAGTGCACCGCACTTCAAGACTTCATTCAAAATGAATCCTTGTCTGCTTTAAAATAAAAACTTTTGACAAGTGTATTTACTTTCATTGATATTTGAGAACACAGAGGCATTCATCAGAAGCTCTTTACCTCCCCACATGCTGTTGTAGGCATTTTGTGGATTTTCTGAATTTATTTTTTTCAGAAACCTTATTTAGTCTTCCAGCTCTTTTGACGCTATAGAACAGAGGGAAATTTCAGGATATCTGCTAATACGCTTGCTCCGCCGCACTCAGTGCCATAATTCAGACAGCAAGTTGGCCTTTATTCAGAAAATTCCAAGAGACGATCTATGTCTTGAGATAGGAAATCCTTCACTGAGGCATTCTTTATCTTAACTTAGAATTAGTTTTGCTCCCGTTTAAGCAGTTTTCTGTCCTGTGAAGGTGATAGGCAGGGAGGCAGCCTCTCTGCAGATCTTAAATTGCGTCTGTGCCATCTGTTCGCCTATCCGTTAGGTACCTACCATTATCGCCAAGGGACCGTTGTGTGAACAAGCACAAAATGCACACCAAACATATACCTTGTATACAAAGGTCCTGGTTACTGAC